TTGTATCTCTCTCTCTCTCTCTCTCTCTCTCTCTCTCTCTCTCTCTCTCTCTGTCGTAATTGATCGATAATTCGTTGTAAGAGGGTTAATCGTGTCTGACGGACGATCGATAGACACACATATCTCTTTCAGGTCGACGTGTTGCTCTGAAATTGTTTACCGATCTGCGTGCATAAACACCGCGCTGAAGGCTTCCTTTCTCGCTTTGCTTCTCTCTCTATCCCTCTTTCTCCTTTTCATTCTCAGTCTCTCTTCCCCTCTACCTTCAACTCTGTTGGTGCTCTCTTCTCTCTTTCCATCAAAAACCCCACGCGCGCAGCCAGCAGTAACGCCATGTATTATATACCCATGTCTCTCCTGCCTCCCTGTTCTTTCGTAGTATACCGCGTAGTGTTACGAACCTTCGAGAAAACATCGTTGCGATTTTTCATCTTAAATCGGACCGTCATTCGGCGTTGTGATAGGAGCTGCTTATTTTTAGTCGATAATACATTATACGTCTGTTACTATGGAAATTACAAGGTGAAATTCGTGGTCAAAAATGCCGGTTATCCACGTTTTCAGTCTATATTATATAGAAAGTCGTGGAAGCGTCTTCGCGCAACAGCAATAGTATGTCACGTGGAAAGTACGATCGTATTTGTGTGCTTTTAAAATGCTTGTAATATCCCTATCTCTATTGTATTTTATAATGTTCGTTTATTAAAAAGATAAAATCTTAAAATTATTCATTTTCTTATTTCGTTTCAATTAAATTAAGAATTATTAATTCTTCGCTAGTTTCATATACATATGAAGTTCATTTTCATTTAAGATTAATATATTAATGTATTTATGATTGTTGCAACATATATTACTTCAATCTCATAGATTTTATGACGCAAGCGCATATAGTCATAAAGAATATGGAAGTAAAGAAAAAGGCGGGAATTTCAAATAATATTTAAATTTCGATAAATTTTTATTTAATTTAAATAATAAATTAATATTTTATTATTTCTTGTTTTGATATTTTATTATTTTTGGGATAATAATATTTTTCACAATATTTTATTTTTTATATTTTACTAATTTATATATATTTTAATATTTAAATTCAACTTCAAATTTAACAAGAATAATATTATAAAAATAAAATAATTATTATTTTAGAAATTAATTAATCATCTATAATCTTATTTTGGTTTAATGATTTAATAAATTTACTTTTGGTTCATTTATTTTGTTTTTTATTGGCAAGCAAAATACTTCTAGTAATTCAATATGATCAAATTAATGCGTGTTACAGAATTATATAACGATTGTTCATGACTTAGTCGTACAGACGAGAGAAATGAAATAAGTTTATATGATAGGTTATGAACGTTAGGTTATCTGTAAAGACCTCGTGATTAGTAATAAGTTGATAGGTAATCGTGTTTGTAGGATAACAAACAAAATTTCATGGGCATTGTCGGTATGTCACTGTCAGTTGTTCGTTGTAAACTACCCGCTAATGCCATGAATATAAGTAATAAGAACAATGGTAATAATAATAATAGTAATAGTAGTAGTCAACAGATTTGAATTCGAAGAAAGCGTTTCAAATTTCAGTCATAACATCGTAGTATCCGAGATAATGTTTTTATGAATAGCTAGTTCTTTTTTATCATTTAATGGTTTATTTTAAACTTATATATATATATTTATATTTTATAATTTTTTAGTCAGTATTATAAAAATATTAATTATTGATTGTTATTAAAGAATTTATATATATTGATATTTGTATATTATACTAAGTATTTAAGTATTTATGAAATGAGATATTACGTTTCATTTGATAAAGGCATTTGATAATACATATGATGAGATGATTACCTTGAAACAATTCGTATCGACTATGTTAAAATTTTCATGATCATCTAATAGAATTTCTATATTTAAATATATATATATTTTTATATATATTTATTTTACGATACAATATATAAAATATATATAAATATTTTTTATTTATATGTAGCGTCTATAAGTTCTATGTACGATATCCGGACACGCTGCTTCGTGTTCCTCTTTTCCCCTCTTTCTCTTTCGTGTGCTTTACGCAGCACGAACACATCCCCTTCTACAAACATGTATCGTAGTCGTCTGCCAATCCCTACGTTTCTCCCACCATCTAGTCTTAGTTCATTCGTCCCTTTGATTGGATGATGCAGTTCTGCAAGTTTTCTATGCTGCTTTCCTCGTACCGCCGATAGACACAGCGCGTGTATGCCATTATGGCAATCTACCCTGGTCACGAGTAAAGCTGTATGAACACGAGTTAAGGTATCGATATTTCAAGAATCGTGTGAAGCATACAATTATTGTTTTTTATCTGAAATAAAATTTGATATTATCCTTTTAAATTATTTATATCTCTAGTTTTATATGAATATAGTTTTGATAAGATTGAGGTTTACGATAGGCTTTTATTTTAAATATATATGAAGAATTAAACATATAAATATACATATATTATTAAACTATTACATAAATAATTTCAATTAAATTTTTTTTCATTACATATTTTTATATCGCAATTTTTTTTAAACTAATTATGTTATCAAACTTTATGCTAAATAATATTTAATATATTTATATCGATTTTAATTTCAAGATTTTTTTATATTTTGATTTTTTATTTTTACTTATCTTTTTATAATTTTGATTTTTAAGATTCTTTTTTTCATAAAAAAATTCATTTTTGTTTTACTTTTTGTTTTGCCATATTTAAATAAAATATCCATTTTTCTTTTCATATCCTTATATTTCTTGGCGGAAAGAAAATTTCTTTGTCCATTTTTTCTTTTTTTTATTTTTTAAATATTTAAATGAAGATAAATTAAAACATTTATTTTTATGTTTTTTTTAATTATTTGAATTAAAAAAAATATTCAGTGAATATTTAATTATATAATTGTAAACAAAATTGAAATAAATATTCTAATAATAATATGAAATATAATTTATTTATTTATTATGTTTTAGGAAAAAAATGATGAAACAAAAAAACAGAAGAAAGAAGAAAATGGCGACGGAGAAGTAGAAGAAGAAGAAATAGAAGAGGAAGTTGAAGAGGAGGAAGAAGTTGATGGCGATGGCGAAGAAGATGACGAAGATGATGACATACCGGAAGGTGAAGAAGATTTAGAAGAAGGAGAGGGTGAGTTATGGAATTTTTTAGTGTTAAAATGTTAATATTTTATACATTCATATAGCAATAATATTGATAATTACTAAGTTATTGAATAAAAATATAAATTCTCTTATTTATAGATGAAGAAGAAGATGATGCTGAAGGTGAAGTAGAAGGAGAAGTAGAAGATGAAGAAGAAGACGCATAATGAAAACAGGGAAAAGAATATGTAAGTAAGAAAGGAGGTAGGCACACGGTACCATCGTCGATCTTCGGCAGTTTTCTCAGCAAACACTTACTCTCATATTGAGTGGTTGGTAGCAATGTTGATTACCTCGTGCCCAGACCCTATTGCCTCCCGACCTACGAATAAAAATTACCACCTTACCGGAGTTGTGGTGGGCTGACACAAATTAGAGGCAGCCGCAATTCTACTGTCTTGGCTCTTCGCAATTCTGGTCATCTAGCCATCACCAAATGCTATTAGATAGTTTGAATGAAAACTATATATTCGTCGTGTGGGATTTGAACGTGTCGATTTAATATCTAAGTCCTTCGTGCATACTCGTACGTTTGGTACATTAAATATACTCTCAAGACGAATTTATTGTTTTATCCAAACCATCTATTAACTGGTATTTGCTGTCATTTGGCTTTCTTCGCGGGACAGTTTTATAACGAAAACTTATTTAAGATAAAAAGCTCTATTGTATTTAAATAATGTAAAATGAACATTTGTGGGTGATGATTTTTTTACATTTGAAATCAAATTTACGTTTGTAGTTCAACGAATGTCTCTCACCTTGTGCGCGTGATTGATTTCTTTTTCGACCTATATGTGTATTTGCAACGACTTTGTAGGAGCGCGAGTTGTTAAAAAAAAATAAATAAAATGGATCAAGTGGTGCGTAAAGAAATAAAAATAATAAATAAATACTATAATAAATACTGGACATCTCTCGACATTCTTTGTATATTAAAAAAAAAAAATGAAAAAAAAAAAGAAAAGATTTTAATGATCTTTAAAATCTCTGCTTCGTGCTCCTGTTTGATCCGAGAACAAAAATTAAGATTAATATAACGCTCGCGCTAAGTAGTATGGATGAGTCATGTGTGTTCTTAACATTGCATAATAATTATACATAGTATGTATAAAGTTATGGAATAAGAAACATTTTATTATTAATGATAATATTATGTAACGTAATGTATTGTGGAGAGGTTGTTACAATTTAGGCTTCGAGTATATAGAGTAGGGAGAGAATTTTTATTTTATAAAACATAAATGATACAAATAATTTGTTTATTTCTCCAAAATGAATATTCCATTTATTCATATCCTTTTATTATATATCCTTTTTTGTATTTACGTAAGATTTCAAAACGAAATTACGTAGCGCATTTCAAAAGTCGTTGAAAATATAATGCAACAATTATCGACGATTGAAAAAATTAATGAGAAAACTCTCCCTATTCAATTGCACTCATTTGAACGTAATTCATTTGTATTTTATGTACTGTGGTTTTATTTTGACATTTCATTGACATGGACTACTCGAGCAATGATTCGTTGACTGTCGTAGAACGGGTAACAGTATTCTTATATGACAGTATCCTGCATACAGTGATCAGTGTCTTATTAAAGACATATTTTCAAATTTATTAATGGTATCATATATAATTTTTGATGAATTACACATTTCACTGATTATCAACAATTGAAATATATATGCTCTTTGTGTTAGTGTCAGTGGATCTTTGCAAATGGAATGGTCCATGCCATCACTTATTTCGGGAGACTGGTAGACAAGAAACGGGTGAAGAGACATTGCGGTTACGATACCATTGTACCATAGCTGCATAATAAATAAAGGTAACGATAATTTGAATGCGAGACGATGTCCCACGTTTTAATGTACAAATATTTTCGAATGAGATAGTTAAATAAAACGCAGTTAGATCAGAGAAAATGATTCGTTCTCGTAAGTAGTAATGGGTTTAACTTCCGAAAACAAATTACAGTAATAGCAGTATTAAAATAAAAAAGAAAACTGCTATTTGTGGACTGAATCCTGCTACATTGAATCCAAGGAGATGGGATGGACTGTATACACACTTGTACGATAAATCCAATTTATTCAATTGGTTAAATGAAAGAAATAACAAAATTTAAGTATACTCCGTATATAATGATACGTAAGTCATACAGCAATTTATTGTATTGTTTACAGACCATACCACCTCCAGAACTCTGTTATTCTACGATTTTATACACAATCTGCTGCTGTATTTACACGTGTTGACTTCAAGATAGTACCTTGACGATCATGTTGACAAAGAACTATCTTAAAGTACAGGTGCCTGAGCAAAAATGAGTACTTTAGCGTTCATAGTATACAATAATACACTGTAAGCATAGGTCCATTTAATTTTATTAATACAATAACAAGCCCCGTTTGCAACATGTTCAAAAAAATATGAAAATGGACTTACGTTGTGTACTTTGAGCCAGAGATCACGGAACTCTTCTCTGCTCCAGTATTTGACGTGATTCTGAAAATTATTTACTGGTGCTAACGGGTCTTACAATCAATCAGGCTGAGCGCCCAGATACCGTTACATCCCTACATTTGTTAGGTAAGCATAAAAAGAAGAATTTAAGAATCTTAATGAATCTGGTAATGAAACATGTCATACGATTAAACGTAAACAAAATCTTAGGCTAAGAATTTGGTTTGTGTGTTCATAAATCTTGTTCAAACTACTTTTGTACAGGATACCATCGCATCATCACTTTCGACATAACAGTAACCGATACCACAGACTATATTTCTGCCCATTCCATCAGAATTGAACTTTCATTGTATTTTTAAGTAAATACATTTTGGAAAACAACAGATGTTTTTTTATTCTTCACGTATCTGTGAAGGAACGCGTCTTTCCCTATTTAATACTTGATAATTAATCGACAACTTATTTTTTCGAAGATAATTTAGACTAAGATTGTTTTTACGTACCTTCTATGTACATATAAATTAAGAATTATGTAGTTATACTATGTAAATATAAAATAGCAATTTACAATAGAATATGTACGTAATATGTGATACACAAGATTAAATATTACTGAATTTCAATATCTATGTTTATTTACACGTATAATTGTATGTAAAATTATAATGTATTCTTAGATGTAACTGTATATAAAGTAAAAGTATGTACTTAAGCATAATATTATTTGTATCTGATATTGTTTATTTATAAAATAATTTCTGTAATTAAGTGATTTTAAGATAATAATACCGGATACCAGGTAAATTGTAATTGATAACAAAATATTACAAATATGTGTAAAATCTATGATGGAATGCAACCATAGTACATAATATTAAAATTTAAGGTAAAAATTTTTTTAAATGTGAATCAACGTACCTGGACGGAATATGTATTATTGGAAATTTTTAATTGGATACATATTATTAGAGGTATAGCAGTCAAATATTACCCCTAATATAAAAATGATATACCACTTACAAAGGAATTTGTAGTAAATATATAAATGTGTAAAAAATAAAAATCAAACATTTGTATAAGAGTATAAGATGTGTAATAGAAATATTTGCGGATATTTATTTTAACTAAGTAATTTGTACGAATATTGCATGCAGATTGTCTTACAATATATACACAATATTTTTTTCACTTATGAGTTTTATTGTATACAATAATAATTCATATTAAGACATTTTGCATGCATGTCAAGACATAGATTTCGATACATTTTGATCACAGTCACAGCATTTTGTATACTTAAATGAATATTTTTAATTCGTAATATTGAAAGTAAAGAATTTTAGAAATCATATAAAAATATTAACAATGTTTAAAACTTATTATCGAATGAAAAGTAATTTAAAAAATTACACAGTAATATACTGCGATACAATCACAACCATTTAAATATTAATTACATGATATATTCATGCAAAGAAATTTTCTTTCAGAGAATAATATTTATATAACATATTTTTTACAATGTTATGAAGATTAATAAAATATACAGCTTTTTAGTCAACCTCCCGCGTTGGTTTATACATATTATTTAAAGTATATAATTCCTGAATAGTGTTATTAGCAATTCTTGTAAAACTATCGGTCATGTTATTACTTTCTTCAATATTGCTTGATTCTGCGTTTATTCCTTTATTTGTTTCCGGCTAGATTTAATTATAGATTTCTTATTTATTAGTAAATGATAAATAGAAATTTGTATTAATAACAATATTATACATACTTTGGTAGAATCTGAAATTGATAATCCACTGGATAGATTTTCAGAAAGACTAATATCAAGATCGGCGAGTTCTGTCGAATCAAGTTGAGGAAGACTCAAATCAAGATTATACTGTGTGTTGTCCATACTTAAAATATTTGTAACATTTGTCGCTTCCATTTCACCTACTATATGAATTATTTAAAAATTACAATGATGTATAGTTTGATATAATAATAATAATGAATATAAACACTTATACTACCAGCATTGTTCAACGATTGAAATTCTTCGTGATAGTTTGATGTTACTTTGCTTAACGTTAATTGTTCTTGCGGCTGTATTTGTAACGTGTCATGTACATATGGAAATTGTTGTTGTGTATACGTTTTGATTGATGGTTGTTGTAAGATATGACTGCTTGTTGATGGATATTGAGGTGATGGTTGTGATTGAATAAGTGCTGGATTGTATAATCTGTACTCCATTGGCGATGTACGATCTGGCGATATTTGTGGCCTGTACAACGTATTAAAATTTCTTCAGATCCATTGTTCTGCATATTATCTCATTTTTTTAAATGATACAAAGCTTTGTGTTACCTCAACGTTTGTATAGTAGATTGCGATTGTGGAGAAGTTGTTGCCATCGGATACAAGGATGAAAAAGATCCTCCACTTCCAATTGGATATCCATAAGGAGATATCCTTTCCGTCGGTTCTGATTTAATAATATTAAAATTGTATTGATTTAACATTGCAGCATCTACAATTGTGATAAAACAAATAGAAATTTATTAAAAATTCCAACTATTAAAGATTAATTAAAATAATACAAATTCATTATTCACATTTTGTTACTTTATACAAACGATTTAAATTTCTCTTGAATGTCATTTTAGTATGTTATATTAATTTTATTAATTTTAATAAATATATAATATGCTTAAATTGAATATTATGAATCAAAAAGAAAATACATAAAATGATTAAGAAGCATATAAAAATTTTTATGATTAAAAAGCATAAAAATGGAAATGATCAAGCAACATATAAAAAGCAAAAGTTTTGAAGGATTAATTACAAAAGATACATGCAATTTTATATATTTTCACTTCAAACATTATTCGTGAATATCTTTTATTTTATTAGAATAAAAAATACAGTCAATATGATTAGCAAATATTAACAAACTAAACTAATATTTTTATTGTCGTACCTGAATATTTTTTATATATAATATTCTTTTGATCTGAAATTGATTGGGAACAGAATAAAAACACGTAATTTTTATCATTAAATAAGTATGTATATATATATATAGATCAATATATTCTGTATATATGTATAAGTCATACATTATATAGATTTTTCTTTTTCAAAGCAGTTTATAAAAATTTGTATTGCCATACAAATATTGCACATAATTTCCGCTCTTATTATTGTATTGCTAAATATTTAAATACAATATTTTAATACGAGAGCAGGATACTTGTATATTATTTAAACTGTAAAAATTAAGCCCGCTTTTGTCAACGTTATTATCATTAACAATATACTTTTCTTGTCGCATTAATGGATATAAAAATGCATCCATTCGTGCAATCACCAGTAATAATTACAAAAATACAATTTTCTCTTCAAATGTACAAGGCCATTGCCATCCAAAAATTTAAGTACAAATTCCAACTATTTATACAAAATATGTTTTTAAAAAAGTATAAAACAAGATTCTTCAGTGCGTGAAAATATATATATATATGTATATATATATATATGAATATAATATTTCTTAATACAATGAAGATTCTAATTTATGAAAAAATATCAATCTTTGCACAACGGAAATTTTTTATCATTTTTTTATGTCAATCTTCTAGATTATTAGGCACTTCTATTATTGGACGAAATTCAATAGACAAAATATATAACAATAAATATAAGAAATTTTTAAATTTAAATATTTCCAATGTGCAAAGATATTAGATTAATTATATAGTTAGTATGATGTGACTTAAGAGCGCTG